TATAGTTTTTTATATGTATTTATTTAAATTTTTATTAGCCACACGTGCCGCTGATTATGCCAACAAGACAATTTGTTATTAGTGCTGTAAGCCGCTTCCTACCAACTGTCACACCAGCCGCCGGTGATCACAGCTTTGTTTATTTTGCTGTATTCTGAGACCGCAACAGTTGCAACAGCCTGTCGAGTGGCACGCGACTCTAACGCCTCCGCCACCGCCGCTGACGCCACCGTTATTCCGATCAAACAATGACTTAAAGACTTGTGGCATAAACCATTCAACCAGTTAAGGCCGTATGCATTACCAAGCCAGTGGACGGCTAGATTGCGCGCCGCATACCGTTTGCTTATTTGTTTGCATTCAGATCCTGGTTGGCTGGCACGTGCGGGTGTTTGCGGTAAGTGGCGACAGGCGCCAGTCACTGCTGTTGCTGCTTGCTCGTACTTGCCGAATGGTATTTTTTAGTTGAGGCTTTCCCCCGCCCCTTAAATGGGCATTTTGTTATCTTCGGCGAAATATTACCATGGTAAATGGTTACGGTGTCATCATCGGTGGGCACTTGCATGGACTGTTGCGCGCCTTTTGTCATGTAATTACGTTATTATGATATTTAAATATGGCTCAGTGTGTGTGGCGCATGCCTGTCACGTGGCTCTGTTATGATACCGCAAATGTTCCGCTACCGGTTGTACGCCTACGTACATACATAATATACATGCTCGGGTACTTGAGTGCGAACAACAGTTGAAGTGTCTAAATACTTATGACCAAGTGTGGATCTAAAGGGTTAATTTATTGAATTATTACACTACAGGAAATGACTGTAGGTGTTGAATATGTATTCACTTTTTAATGAAGTTGGGCGTGAATTTTATGAAGTATTTTGAAAAGAAATTATCTAAGCCTAATGCCATTCAAAAGGGTTTAAATCTATAGCCGAACGCCTGCGTTATTGTAATAGCAAAATTTTAATATGCTTCCCATTTTCCCAGCAGATGGCAAGAGAAAAGAAATGTAACTAATTGAAGAAAAAATATTGCTTCGGTTAGACTGACTAGCAAGGTATACCAGCTATCGTAACGGGGACAATGGGGTCTTGCTCCAAGGATATTCTGAACATTCTGCTCAGCTTATTGCCGATTGATATTTTCATCGAAAACTCGCCTTCAGACTGCGTGCCTTTGGGCTCTGGAATGTTCTATCATAGACGTACTTATAACCGCCTGAAATTGAACTGACTACATTCTCCCGAAGACCTGGGTTCACCACCAAATGCGCGCGAAAGACCCAAGCTGCAGTGATTGTGATCAACTTAGGGTCTAGTTCTTAGAGGGCTTCACGGACTCCGTTGGTGCAGGGGTTTTCATTGAGCGATATAACCTAAAGCTATCCTACCGCCTACTAGACCCTGCAAGCGTTTTCCAGGCTGAAGCGTTGGCAATTAAGGAGGCAGTAAGGTACATCAAAGAGAATGCACCTGCGAGGACGTAGGAGAATATCTTCTCAGATAGCCAAATGGCTATTCAGACACTCTATTCCAGTGGATGATAGTAGGAAAGATCTAGTCTCGATTTCTGTTCCATATAAAATTAAAATTACACTAATATGGGTACCGGGATATAGGGACCTTTACGAACGAAATAGCAAGGAAATGATGCCTCGCTCAGTGCGATCAACAAATTGTTTGTATACAAAATTCACCAAAATCGTTAGAGCCGTTTCCGAGAAACCCCTAGATATAAATATATACATATACTAGCCGGCCTCGTATGCTCGAGGCTTCGCCACGGCTGAATGTGTAGATATTAAATAATTTATATTTTTTAATTTTTCGCACAGGTAGCAACCCTCTTCGAAAAATAAAACTTTACTGCAAATCTGAAGGCCAAACCTTTTCATTTGACACCTAATTTTTTTATAGTGAATGAACTGTGCAAATGTCATTAACAAAAAATACCCTCGCGTATTATACATATGTAAATAATTTTTAAATAGGTGGCAACCCCACTCAAACAAAAAATAAAAACTTATTGCGCATGCAGAGACCATATCCTTTCACTTGGTAGCTCAGTTTTTAGTACAAAAAACGGTGAAGATCTTATAATTTTTAAAAAGTGGCAACCCTATTCAAAAAGCAATACATTATTGAACATCTAAGAGCCGAGCCCTTTTATTTGACACCTTATTTCTTGTAATCCAACAAATAGTGCGGATATTATGATTTTTTTAGACTGGTGGCAACCCTATAGGGATTTAAAGTATTAAAGATCATACTTAAACAATTTTTTCTAAATCCGCTCAGTAGTTTATGAGAAATATCTCGACTTTCCTTTATACTATGTATAGAAGATAGATATATGTAGATTAAAGATGCAAACTTTACGCATCCACAAAGACTTAGTTAAACACAATGTATGTAAGTGTATATGTATGTACAGTGAAACCTCTCCTAACGGACACCTCTATTAGACGGACACCTCCCTTGGGCGGACATTTTTTCCTATACCAAGTTGTAAGTATAAATTTCGGAACAAATTACTCTCTCTTAAGCGGACACTCTCTTGGCCGGACGCGGACAGTTATTTTGCATAAAATTGACACAAACACTCTATTGGGCGGACGCGAACCTCTTATCAACGGACATTAAGATTTCTTTTCATAACAAATCAAACAAAAACCTCGGATGAGCGGACGCGAACTCCTCATAGGCGGACTACTAAATGGAAAAAAGGGGACTTCCCGCACAAAATGTGATTGTTATGCACACATTTAGTTTAGTTCGCGCAGTGGTTTAGGGTCGTTATTTGAATTGTCAGAAACCCTTGGAGACTGATAAAAACATGAAAACTATTGATGAAAAAGGTACTGACACTGAAAAAAATTAAAAATAAAACTTACGTCAATCGACAATTTCCCAGTTTTTTATGTAATGAATCCATGATCTTATGTAGTTTATGGACTAAAATGTAATATATATTTTTATTTTGTTATTACTTAATATGTACTTACGCACATAAATGAAATGTGCACTTTTGAAAAAATACATGCACATTTTTGTTTGAACGATGTAATATCAATATCTTTTATTCAAATAAGAAATAGTGACTATTCAATTAAAACATTAAAAAGTTCTAAAATAGGCTTCCCCTCCATTAAGCGGGCACCTCTCTTGGGCGGACACCTCTC